TTCAATCTTCACAGCAGAAGCAAACGCAATACTTACATCTCTTAAATATATAAATAGACACCCTACATATGAACAATATATAATATTTTCCGACTCTCTTTCTTGCCTTCAGGCTATTAACAGTTTTTCTTGTAAACATCCACTTTTCATAGTCATTATAGAAGTATATATTGATCTTGCAACTGGCCAATAAGACATAGTCTTCTGTTGGTTACCCAGCCACGTTGGGATTTCCGGGAATAAAATAGCCGATCTTGCGGCCAAGGCAGCACTCAACAAATCAGTTACACCACTTCTTATCTCATACTGATTACAAAGCTAGCATTAGAACCTACATCCGTGATCTGATGCAGAAGAAGTGGGACACCCAAGTAGGTATCAATAAACTACATGAAATCAAACTTTATATTGGTAACACCTACTTGGGATGTCAGTCCAGATTTATACGATGTCGTATTGGCCACACAATATATACTCAAGAATACCTGTTGAAAGGTGAGGATCCTCCGTTTTGCATCCCTTGTGATGAAAGAATCACGGTCAAGCATGTCTTGCTTGACAGTGTTGAATATTCCATCACAAGGGATAACTATTTCGAATCACGAACTATGAAGGATCTTTTTAATAATGTCAGTTCTCATTTAATTATTGCATTTTTAAAATAATTATATTTGTTGAATGATTTGCAAATAGATAAATGGTATTTTAAACATGGTAGTATAAATTAGCAACTGCGATTCTTAGTGGCTGTATGCTCGAAGGGGTTTAAAATTTTGTCCTCCTGAGAGGGTACGTAAACCCGAAAACTTTCAAAGTTAAATTTAAGCTTACCAGATTTTTAAACGAGTATATTTGTTCTTTTAAAATTCGGCTAAACTTTTCCTCCAATCGCCATCCGCTGAAGGGATGGTGTAAATCCAACTAAGGTCCATGCAAGTTGCAAAGGCCCCATGGACCCTAGTATGGTGATCTACCTTCAGTTGTTGGCGACAATTTCTATATTGTATCGTCCTCTATAGTTAAAGTATTTTCGATTTTTAATTATTAGTTTTAAGTATATATCTGTGATAGTCTAGTTGGTTTTACTGTCCTTTGTCGACAGCTTTTTAAATTGATTACCTTGTTTTCATCGCTATATGGCTGTAATATTGCCGATGCGATGTAAAAGTTTAACTCGCTCACTCACTCACTCACTGTATATGTGTGGACACAAGGGGGCGTTCAAGTCAGTACCTGGTGACACATTACAGCCGTCACTGCTCGACACCGCCGTTTATCCTGCAACTTAGCAAGTTCTGCAAATGTCTGAGAACGATGGGGACGTTTACGGACGCGTCTATCAAGTTCGTCCCATAGATGCTCGATAGGGTTCAGATCAGACGATTTGGAAGGCCAATGAAGGACGTTTGCATAGGCGAGATAGACACCTGCTACACGAGCTGTGTGGTGTCGAGCGTTGTCGTGTTGAAACAGATCCCTCTGGCGGTTCAAAAGTGGGAGGAGGTGAGGTCGCAATGTAGCGATTTGCTGTAAGATTTCCTTGAACCACCACTAGCTCTGATCTATACGGGTAGGTCATGGCTCCCCACACCATGAGCTATCGCCACCAGATCTGTCCACCTGTCAACGCAGTTCGATGCAAATGTTCATGTTGACGTCAATAGACCACGTTGTCTCCAATCCCGTCGTTGCAGGAGGAAACGCGATTCATCGTTGGGCCAAACACGTCACCAGTTCCCTGTATTCCATGCCTGTACCCTGTTGCACCATTGGACATGTCGTTGTCGGTGTAGAAGTGTCAGGACATGTCCAACTTTTGATCGATATGCTCAAATTCCCTCTTCTCTCACGCGATTTCTGATGGTTTGGTCGGGAATTCTTCGAAGACGAGGCACCTGCCCTGCAGTGTCCGTTGCTATAGCAAATCGGTGATGGTACGTCCAAAGAGGTCAATAGTGATTTTGAGGCAGTTTGTTTTACTTGAAGATTTTAAGTAGTGTGATATTGTGATATATACTGAGTCAAAATAAAACCTTCACAATTCATATTTGAAAATATAAATATCAATTGTTATAGTAGACAGTTTTCGGGTATCATAATATTAATCCCCAAGTATCTACTTAAGCAATAACGCACCACAGCACATTTAAGTCAATCCAAACATCGTGCACCCCACAGAAGTGCTAAAACGCGTTTTGCACGTGCCACTGGTCACGTGATCTTATCATTGCATGTGCATTCGATGGCACACGTTCCCATCAACTTTACAAAGTGAAATACCACTATTCATGGCAGCACATGGTCCAGGTCTGCCCTGTCAACGTCACAATGCCAGACCCAATACAGCCATCTTGGCCAGGAATTACCTGTAGAACGCAGGGATCAACGTTCTTGACTGGCCGTCAAGGTCACCTCACCTCAATCCAATCGAGCACATCTGGCATGCTCTTGGTAGACGTCTGCTCACTCTCAGGAACTAACCCCAGAATTTGCAGGATCTTGGTGCTTCTTTGCAGGAACGATGGCACCGACTCGCCCAAAATGTGTTAACACGCATCAGGCGTTACTTGGCATTTGTGAACGCACGGGGTGGCCATACACGCTACTGAACGTATGAAACATGACACTTTGTTTACGCCTTTTATTGATGCATTCTGTAACCACATGGAGCCGATTTATGGCATTGTGATTATTCACAGTTCATCTGGTTAAAACATTCGCTCGTCACGCCGAAAACCCGGGTTCGATTTCCCATATGGGTTATAATGTGTGAAGTCCATATCTTGTGTACCCTGCTGTTATATTGCTGGAATATTGCATGAAAGTGGCGTAAACCCCAAGTCACTCCACTCATTCCCTCGCCATTACATAATCGATTCTGAAACCAAAGCCAGATTGTTTGAGAAACACCCCGTGACGTCAGGTTACGATAGCAACCAATCAACAAGGTAACAGAGACTGAAGAACCGATCACCGTTTAAGTCTATGCTGAAGTGGGGCGATGGGGTAGCCTAGTGGTTAGAGCGTCGCCCGTAACGCCGAAAACCTGGGTTCGATTCATCACATGGGTACAATATATCTAATATATAACCCATTTGTATGACGGAATTGTGTTGTTATTTTTTTTTAAAAATTATTCGGCTTTAGGTTTTTATGAAAACTAACGCCAGATAGATACCCTTTAGAGTTTTGCCTGAAAGCGACCCTAAACATATAAAATATTCCTTGGAACTAGTTGAGTGATGGTCTAGTTTCACATACCTCATCAGATGCAAAATAAAAGAGACCACGTGCAGATAGAATACAAAAGGTGGGCGTATCGTGCCCCACCGGTGACATCCGTCATACAAATGTGCAAAGTTTTGTCAATTGTTCACCTGAAATAAATATGAAAGTCAATGAATTGGGCACAATTTTTTGTCACTGATGCATTGCGTCCCTTGATATGCTTGGTCACAACGATGCTGGAACATCGAAGTTCGAACCAATCTCACCCATATTCTAAAAATATAGTGTATGTTTGGGCATGTTTGACTCCGTCGTCTAAGATTACACAAATCGCTGCGCAGAAGTGTGCCAGATCCCTATTTTCGGACCCGTGAAGGTCCTGTATAGAATTGATCTTCAGTAACCCATGCTTGTCGCGAAAGGCGACTAACGGGATCGGGGTGGTCGGGCTCGATGACTTGGTTGACACATGTCATCGGTTCTCAATTGCGTAGATCAATGCTCATAATGTTGATCACTGAATTATCTGGTCGAAACTGGATTATTTACAGACAGCTGCCATATATATGAAATATTGCTCAGTGCAACGTTAAACAACCGACAAAATAACAAACTTTGACACGTGTAGAAAGAGGTCTTTTTCCATGTCACTGTGGAAGGAGTTTGTCCTTCCTGCCAACCATTTCTGCAAAACAAATGCCCTAAATGAAGCAATGAAATAATATGGCATTATACAATAAACCTATCAGCCAAGCAACCTGAATCCTCCCCTCTTTCTGGGGCTGCCTTTCAATTTAAATGAAATTAATTGTTTCTGTCAATATTATATCTTCCAAGAGACTAAGCGTTAGTCTAGAACTGAGACATACTAGTGGCTGACCGAGGTCCCCGAGTTTCATTATAGTAGCCTTCACTAATTATGTTGAGAAATATTTGGCACGAGACTTTGGAAACTGCTTTGCGGCGTCAAGCAGGGAACAAAGATTCGTTCATCCATTGGTGTGTTTGGTTGGTTTGTTCAGGAGAAACATGGAACATGTGGAGGCCTCGATTACGAAATGTCACGCTTGCATCCCAAGTAGCATGTTATCAGAATCCTTGTGTTTGGTACCCCACAGTCCTTTACACGAGAACCTACGTTTGCTGCATTGTCCGAAACGTTCCTGGGAAGTTCGACTAGACAGTGCGTCCTGTGAGAAGTCCCATTCGCTGTCTGGGATGAGTATCAAAGGAGCAAGGGTCTGACCAGCCTTACCGTGCCTTGATCGCCCGAAACCTCTTTGCTGCATTTATGTATTTTAGTTTGTTGCATAAGAAGACCTGGCCTTCGCGTCGCCTGCACGCGTTACAAACGTATCCCAAGGAAGGTCAACTTACTGTTTACCTGAAAATTAATGTTTATTATCCAGACAGTTTGTTTTCGGTTTCTTTTGCAGTTACTAGTATTCCGGTTTGGACGCCATGTGTTTATAATTGTAGCAGGACCTGGAGTCACCTTACTAAGGCAACCCAGTTGCCTAGAACGATCACATGATGTTGATCACTGGATTGTCTGGTCCAGACTCGATCATTTACAGACCGCCGCCATATAGCTGGAATATTGCTGAGTGCAGCGTTAAACAACAAACCAACCAACATCCAAACAACCTAACGCAGCCGACTTGGTCATGTGGACAAGGCGTCTGCCTTCCGTGGTTCGAATACCAGCACGAATTTTGTGGCCGCTGCATAATGATATAAGAGATAGGAAGTGATAGCTGATACATGCTACCTGGGTTTTGATATTTTATTTCATGTTGGAAGTTACAAACAGTATGTTTCAGCACGTGTTGTCTCTGATGTTGAGCACGCACTCTGAAACAGAAATGGCATCAACTCTCATAACTATTGATAAAATCAGTTTACCGATGCCTTTATCAAGAACCCTTCATGTAAAGGTCTAATCCAAGTGAATAAGAAAGACTTACATACAGTGATCGTCCCTCCTAAACATACCACCGATTAAACAAGAAACAAACAAACATTGTTTCAGTTGCTTTCAAACCATGAATCCGCCAAGTACAAGCTGGATGCCAATCTGTTTGATTGGCATTCTAGAAGTTGATTAATCATAAGAAAGGTATGATATTGATAAAAACTTCTTTATTATATTATGATGCGACGTTTCGATACAGATTCTTATTATACCACTCTTCCTTGACAATGGTATAAGAATCTATACTGAAACGTCGCATCATAATATGACAAAGTAGTTGTTATCCATAACGTATCATACCTTTCTTCGTGAAAGTTCTTGAACCTGGTTCGAGTAGCAACCGATGCGTTTTGTGATTGGCAAGTACTAATGGAACCAGCACATGATTTCAGTGCTTAACACATCATGGAATAAAGTGAACACATCAAATTATGCTTAAAAAAACTTCATTCGTCTGTATTATAAATATACTGAGTATTACTATTGATATTCTACCGGTGAGGTTAAAGCGTTTCCTCCTCAGGCAAAAGTCCGGGGTTTGAGTCTTAACATAAATACAATGCGTAGAGCCCATCGTATGTCCTGCATTGATATTTGACTCATGTTATTTAAGCCCTCCCTACTCACCCTGTACATACACAAATCCTTATGTAGGACATTGTCCAAAAGTTATGATGTGAAGATCTCTGTGGGTGCATTTCTCCTTCTCATATTCACAGCTGAAACACACAAACATACATGTAAATTAGATGAACCCATTGTAGAGTAAGTATGATGTAAACTGCGTTAATATTGAACATACTTATTTAATCGATAAGTATAAGTGTTAACACACAACAATACATGTGAATTAGATGAACTCGTTGTTTAATGTATAACATGCAAAAGCAGTACTTAAGTAGTGGAAGGCACCTCGCTTCCATCAAAATAGATGCTTAACCGCACAAGGTAACTGTCAGCGTCAACAAACAGGCTCCTTTTCATGAACATGTACACAATTATATCAAAATGTTTTTATATATTAAATAGTGTTTTCACTTTTTCTTGAACAAATACGTCTTGCCATTGTGTCGAACATAATGTCAGTTTAATGGTGGAATCCTTTATCAATTCGTTGTTAAGTTCATCATAAAAGAGGGATATGATTAAAATGGCCGAGATCAATGCCTTAGCAAAATAGATTAGGGACCATTGATACTTTTATTGACCAGTGGGTTCTTATTCTTCTCTAAAAACTCCTATCCCTAGAAACATTCATTATCCCAAACAGTATTTGTTAAGTGTATATAATACACGTGAAGGTCCGAGTTAGAATTGGTTTTCAGTAACCCATGCTTGTCGTAAAAGGCGACTAACGGGATCGGGTGGTCAGGCTCCCTGACTTGGTTGGCACATGTCATAGGTTCCCAATTGCGTACGACCGCCTCCGTGGTGTAGTGGTTAGAGCGTCCGCCCGGAGAGCGGAAGGTCACGGGTTCGATCCCCGACCGCTTCATACCAAAAGACGTTAAAATATGGTACTTGTTGGTCCCTGCCTGGCGTTCGGCATTAATGGGTACAACAAGGACTGGTCGGCTCGGAGTCAGTATAATGTGTCTGAGTGGGGTATCCGTGCTTCACTGCGGCGTGGTATCTCAGTGGGCTAGCACTATAAAACCAGCTTAAGTCCGGGCTAGTATAAGCAGCCGCACATACACATACACATACACACGCATGCACGTCGTCATATAAATATTCTCAAGCACGACGTTAAACCCAATTTCACCTCACCTCCCAATTGCGTACATCGATGCTCATTTCCAATATGAAGAAAGTCTCTTCGCTCCTTTGTGCTATATTTGGATTAAGATAATCTTACTGTATTTGTTACAACATGTGAATATAAGAGACAAACTGTAAACGTAATGTAAGCTCAAAACAACAAGAAAATGCAATTCTTACAAGTTGTCGTAGGTAACTCTGTCTGTTGCACAGACTTCATCTTTATCAGCGGGACAGTCTTCGTGGGAGAGCTCCTGACAGAAGAAATCTAGAACAGCCTCTTCTCCGGAGAGCACTGGGCCCCCGGTGATGGTGCGTTTGTCACAGGCACCGTAGTAAGCAACGTCGATGACGCTGTCTTTACAGCGGGCTTGGGTAAAGTAACATCTGTAAAGTAATACAAGGTGATCTGATGTTTATGTGTTTGGGTAAACAATACACCCGTAAAAGTTGTAAAGGGATGCAGTGTCATCCTTTTGTGTATGTATTCATAGTAACTCATTATTGGGCTATGTTGTAAGTAAAATGTCTTCATCATAATCGATCGGATTAGGAATACCACCTTTTCATGTGCGTGACTGCATTCGTGCTCTGCTTGTTCATATATGAAGATGTCAAAAACATACCCTTTCAAACATAGTCACATGAATGCCAAGTAGGTACACTTCCATACATGCTTATGTCAATTACATACACTTTCAAACGTGACTATGTCAACTGCATACACTGTCATACATGCTTATGCCAATTGCATACACTTTCATATATGACTGGGTGTGACTTCTTCAGTGACAACACGGTTCCTTGTATAATTGATTACAGGAACGTGTTTGACTGCATCATGTGTCACTGCATCAACGAGTCTCCTGTTCATGTGTGACTGCATCAACGAGTTCCCTGTCTATGTGTGACTGCATCAACGAGTTTCCTGTTCATTCATGTGTAACTCCAACGAATTTCCTGTGCATGTGTGACTGCATCAACGAGTTTCCTGTTCATATTGACTGCATCAACGAGTTTCCTGTTCATGTGCGACTGCATCAACGGGTTTCCTGTTCATGTGCATGTGAGTACTTAAAGACAAGAATACCAATGTGCATGAATATATCAGCTATAGACCGATCTCAGCTATAGAAACATGTCCACACATGTTACACGTGCAGCAGCATAGAAGTTTTCAGCCATGTGTTCGTCATACCTGTTGTCGTACGTTACCCCATCAGTTCCACATTCCTCGTGTTTTGTGTATCTTGAGCAGTCTCTCTGCTGGTAGAGTCGACAGGTGAACTGACTGCCGAACCACCCGTCGGGAAACAACTGAGCAGAGGAAACTAAAACAAATATAAATCAACAAATATACACGGAACGCTGATCCAGGAAATGTGTTCCAGAAAAACAGAAGACAATGACATTCCACTTCCGAAGTTAAGTCAGCCTTCCTGAATAGGATATAGGATTTAACCCAAAAGGAGGTACAGAGTCGATTGAGGTGAGTGAGTGAGTTAGGTTTTACGCCGCACTCAACAACATTCCAGCTATATGGCGGCGGTCTGTAAACAATCGAGTCTGGACCATATAGCCAGTGATCAACATCATGAGCATCGATCGACGCAATTGAGTGAGTGAGTGGGTTTAATTTTACGCCGCACTCAGCAATGTTCAAGCTATATTCCGTCTGCCTGTAAATAATCGAGTCTGGATGCAGTTATCAACATCATGAGCATCGACCTACGCAAATGAGATGACATGCATCAACCAAGTCAGCGAGCCTGACCACCCGATCCCGTTAGTCGCCTCTTACGACAAGCATGGGTTGCTGAAAACCAATTCTCGTCTCAGATGTTCCAAGTTCTAACTCTCGTCAGGCGCTCAGTTCCAGCAGCAGACGCGATAAAGCGATATTTCTGATTATCCATTGTATGTTTTGTTCATTGTCATTTGACGATCAAATCTGGAGGCCTAGTAAGCTGTCAACTTATTCCCACAGAAATTATATGAAGTGGTTCCTACGAGTCTTAATGCAGATTGTTCTGCAAACTACAAAATATTCTAAGTCAGATTCTTGATTCATTGAATGCTACGTCTAAGAAAGAGAAGCAAGAAAAATAAATTCACCAAACAAATATATAGTGCTACATTTTTACGTGCAACTAAATGCAATAAATGGCACTGATGCGAAAAGACCCGTATGGGGGATATAAAATGACTATACCTCACTCACTCTCTCACTCACTCTCGAGTGAAGCAAACAGGGAAAGGGTATGGGGGTATACAATGACTATACCTCACTCACTCGGGAGTGAAGCTAATGGGGTTGGGTGGGTATGAGGGTTATACTAAATGCAATAAACGGCACTGATGCGAAAAGACCCACCATGGATTCTAGTTACAGGTGTTGGAAGCAGTATACATAGTTGCAATTGTTACCTCGAACAACCACAGGTAGAGGTTTACAATAGTATAGCATACACGATAAAGAAAGGTCGCCATTTGTTTGTTTCATTACATCTGATTGTCTGAAAAAATGTAATTTAAAGTCCAAATCTAATACGGCGCTGATATATTGAAAACTGGTATTCAACATTGTTCTCAAATGCCACTACTTGTCTGTATAAATTCTTTCTTTTATCTGCTGTCTTGAATTCTTTCTTTTTGGAAAAAGGTTCTATTTTTTATTCATTTGGCTTTCACAAGGACAAAACAAGACATACTTTTCCTATTCGTTTGATGTTGTTGATTGTGGAGATTCAGGCTTTTGACACCATCACCCAACAATCATGTTAGACAATACATCTCACAAAACCTCGCACTTCCCTCAAAGTGTTGGTGTGGCACCAATTGTGCTGCCCACCTTGCGGATCTGTTTCTTAATGAATATGAATTTCTGCTTGGGTTGACAAAATCAAAACAAGGTAATTTGGCAAAGAAGTTTAACTTAAGTTTGTCGATGATTTGATATCGTTCAATAACCATCAAATAGCCTTCAATCCCTTGATTGATTGTGTCATTTTAACAGTTAAAAGATGGGAAGTGTAATACTGACAAACTTTGAGGGTAACAACTTCTTTTATTTCGTGAGACGTTTTAATACAGATCCTTGTACCGTTGTCGAGCAGGGATCTGTATCGAAATGTCGCACTCTCGAAAAATGCCACTAAAGAGACTCAGGTTTGAAATAACTGAGGACAATAACCACTCAGAGCGCAGTCACTGAGGACCAAGAAAAATACCCATAAAGAGAGCAACAAATACTTCATAACAACACATGCGACTTCACACACACAGAGATAAATAAGTTTGGTTTGGGTGTTCTTTTAAGCCTAAAGTAAATATAAATAACATATTCACATTCTCTTCACCTAGATCTGTTTAATTGTGTGTATTTGTTTTCAGCATATTGCTTGGGCTAAAATGGTTACAAGCATTTCAGTGTAAAAGGCCTTTATTCTGAATAAAACTGTCCGCATAAAAAACAGGAATATAAATGGTAGTCCAATAACTGATATATCTACAAACTGACTGATAATATAATCAGTTTGATCTATTATCATGTATGACAACATTTTATCTTACAACATGGAATTTTAATAAAGTTGGTTGGCTGGTTGTGAGGCTCGCTGACTTGGTTGACACATGTCAACGTATCCCAATTAAGTAGATTGACACTCTTGCTGTTGATCACTGGATTGTCTGGTCCAGACTTGATTATTTAGAGACCGCCGAGATATGGCTGGAATATTGCTCAGTTCGGCGTTAAGCAACAAACAAACAAGCAAACAAACAAACAGATGAACAAAGAATTAAAGAATCATGACCTGTGCACAGAGCAAGTGAGGTTAGGTTCAAAGCTCTTGAGATCTAACTCCGAAACGTCGCTCCTATGTCCAGCATAGGCGTTTATATATATTATGTTATAATCTCCTGTCCTCCAACGAGTGCTCAGTTTGTTTGTTTACCTACCGGACAGAAGCCCCAGAACAACAGCTACACGCAGCATTTTCACAAAAAGCACGATCGGACACTGAACTGAATGAGACAGAGAAAGATCACACCTTCACGTGACTATTTGTGTTCACTGCATTAAGGTGTGCCAGGCTGCTTATGTGCTCTACCAGCTGGCCAACACTTATCTCGGACCTGCAATGAGCAGTCAAATTAAAGTATGTCACAAAGCTGTTTTCTCACTGACATCATATAAGTGCGTCAACACTAGCCTATTATAGTAAGGCTTTTTAAAAATAAAGCATTGGATCGTAATATTGGTAAGAAAATTAAAATTAACATTAAAATTCTGTGCTCTTAGGATTTCATTTACTCATGAATACCAACTATCATCTAGAAACTGGCCCCCAAAAAGCCTCATTGGCTGAGAGGGTTAGAGCGCAGACTTTGTGTACTTTGTGTATTAGGTGTTTGACTCTAAGAGTATGGATTCGAATCCCGGTTAGGACTTAACCCCGGAAAAAATACTAGAACTATACTTTACTGAGAAAGTATAATCCTGAATATAACATCCTGGATACAAGGACATGTGCCAACCAAGTCAGCGAGCCTGACCACCAAATCCAATTAGTCCCCTCTTAAAACAAACATGGGTTGTTGAAGATCAATTCTAATCGGGATCTTCACGGGTCGGGGAGATTCAGACCTGAACCTGAGAAAAGTTCGACTTGTTTCTTTTAGGGCTTTAGCACTCCAGGAGGAGAAGGTAAAGGAGGGAAAATAATACGATTGATGAAACTGTGAGGCAGACTTGTAGCAGTCTCTGAACCACATGGTTGTCCTTCCTGCCAACCATTTCTGCAAAACAAATGCCCTAAATGAAGCAATGAAATAATACGGCACTAAACAATAAACCTACCAGCCAAGTAACCTGAATCCTCCCCTCTTTCTGGGGCTGCCTTTCAATTTAAATGAAATTAATTGTTTTTGTCAATATTATATCTTCCAAGAGACTAAGCGTTAGTCTAGAACTGAGACATACTAGTGGCTGACCGAGTCCCCAAGTTTCATTATAGTAGCCTCCACCAATTATGTTCAGAAATGTTTGGACCGAGACTTTGGAAACTGCTTTGCGGCGTCAAGCAGGAAACAATTGGTGTGTTTGGTTGGTTTGTTCAGGAGAAACATGGAACATGTGGAGGCCTCGATTACGAAATGTCACGCTTGCATCCCAAGTAGCATGTTATCAGACTCCTTGTGTTTGGTACCCCAAAGTCTTTTATACGAGAACCTCAGTTTGTATTTTAGTTTGTTGCATAAGAAGACCTGGCCTTCGCGTCGCCTGCACGCGTTACAAACGTATCCCAAGGAAGGTCAACTTATTGTTTGCCTGCAAATTAATGTTTATTAGCCAGACAGTTTGTTTTCGGTTTCTTTTGCAGTTTATTCCGGTTTGGACTCCATGTGTTTATAATTGCAGCAGGACCTGGAGTCACCTTTCTAAGGCAGCCCAATTGCCTAGATCGATGCACATGATGTTGATCACTGGATTGTCTGGTCCAGACTCGATCATTTACAGACCGCCGCCATATAGCTGGAATATTGCTGAGTGCAGCGTTAAACAACAAACCAACCAACCAACCAACATCCAAACAACCTAACGCAGTCGACTTGGTCATGTGGACAAGGCATCTGCCTTCCGTGGTTCGAATACCAGCACGAATTTTGTGGCCGCTGTATAATGATATAAGAGATAGCTGATACATGCTACCTGGGTTTGGATATTTTATTTCATGTTGGAAGTTACAAACAGTATGTTTCAGCACGTGTTGTCTCCGATGTTGAGCACGCACTCTGAAACAGAAATGGCATTAACTCTCATAACTATTGATAAAATCAGTTTACCGATGCCTTTATCAAGAACCCTTCATGTAAAGGCTTAACCCAAGTGAATAAAAAAAACTTACATACAGTGACCGTCCCTCCTAAACATACCACCGATAAAACAACAAACAAACAAACATTGTTTCAGTTGCTTTCAAACCATGAATCCGCCAAGTACAAGCTGATCAGCTATTAACTATTTTCAAAATCCATAAAACTCTGTTTGATTGGAATTCTAGAAGTTGATAAATAATAGGAAAGGTATGATATGGATAAAAACTTCTTATTATACAGCTTCTTATTATACCACTCTTCCTTGACAATGGTATACAAATCTATACCAAAACGTCGCATTATAATATGTCAAAGAAGTTGTTATCCATAAAGTATCATACCTTTCTTCGTGAAAGTTCTTGAACCTGGTTCGAGTAGCAACCGATGCGTTTTGTGATTGGCAACTACTAATGGAACCAGCACATGATTTCAGTGCTGAACAAATCATGGAATAAGTTGAACACATCAAATTATGCTTGAAAAACGTTCACTCGCCTGTATTATAATTATACTGTGTATTACTATTGATATTCTACCGGTGAGGTTAAAGCGTTTCCTCCTCAGGCAAAAGTCCGGGGTTCGAGTCTTAACATAAATACAATGCGTAGAGCCCATCGTATGTCCTGCATTGATATTTGACTCATGTTATTTAAGCCCTCCCTACTCACCCTGTACATACACAAATCCTTATGTAGGACATTGTCCAAAAGTTATGATGTGAAGATCTCTGTGGGTGCATTTCGCCTTCTCATATTCACAGCTGAAACACATATTGAACGTACTTATTTAATCGAAAGGTATAAGTGTTAACACACAACAATACATGTGAATTAGATGAACTCGTTGTTTAATGTATAACATGCACAAGCAGTACTTAAGCAGTGGAAGGCACCTCGCTTCCATCAAAATAGATGCTTAACCACACAAGGTAACTACCAGCGTCAACAAACACACTCCTTTTCATGAACATGTACACAATTAAATCAAAGATGTTTTTATTTATGAGATAGTGTTTTCACTTTTTCTTGAACAAATACGTCTTGCCATTATGTCGAACATAATGTCAGTTTAATGGTGGAATCCTTTATCAATTCGTTGTTAAGTTCATCATAAAAGAGGGTTATGTTTAAAATGGCCGAGATCAATGACTTAGCAAAATAGATTAGGAACCATTGATACTTTTATTGACCAAAGTGGGTTCTTATTCTTCTCTACAAACCCCTATCCTTGAAACATTCATTATTCCAAACTGTATTTGTTAAGTGTATATAATACACGTAAAGATCGGAGTTAGAATTGGTCTTCAGTAACCCATGCTTGTCGTAAAAGGCGACTAACGATTTCGGGTGGTCAGGCTCCCTGACTTGGTTGGCACATGTCATAGGTTCCCAATTGTGTACATCGATGCTCAATTCCAATATGAAGAAAGTCTCTTCGCTCCTTTGTGTTATATTTGGATTAAGATAATCTTACTGTATTTGTTGCAACGTGTGCATATTAGAGACAAAATATTAACGTAATATAAGCTCAAAACAACACCAAAAAGCAATTCTTACAAGTTGTCGTAGGTAACTTTGTCTGTTGCACAGACTTCATCTTTATCAGCGGGACAGTCTTCGTGGGAGAGCTCCAGACAGAAGAAATCTAGAACAGCCTCTTCTCCGGAGAGCACTGGGCCCCCGGTGACGGTGCGGTTGTCACAGGCACCGTAGTAAGCAACGTCGATGACGCTGTCTTTACAGCGGGCTTGGGTAAAGTCACATCTGTAAAGTAATACAAGGTGATCTGATGTTTATGTGTTTGGGTAAACAATACACCCGTAAAAGTTGTAAAGGGATGCAGTGTCATCCCATTGTGTATGTATTCATAGTAACTCATTATTGGGCTATGTTGTAAGTAAAATGTCTTCATCATAATCGATCGGATTAGGAATACCACCTTTTCATGTGCGTGACTGCATTCGTGCTCTGCTTGTTCATATATGAAGATGTCAAATACATACCCTTTCAAACAAAGTCACATGAATGCCAAGTAGGTACACTTCCATACATGCTTATGTCAATTACATACACTTTCAAACGTGACTATGTCAACTGCATACACTGTCATTCATGCTTATGCCAATTTCATACACCTTCATATATGACTGGGTGTGACTTCTTCAGTGACAGCACGGTTCCTTGTATAATTGATTACAGGAACGTGTTTGACTGCATCAACGAGTTTCCTATTCCTGTGTGACTGCATCAACGAGTCTCCTGTTCATGTGTGACTGCATCAACGAGTTTCCTGTTCATGTGCGACTGCATCAACGAGTTTCCTGTTCATGTGTGACTGCATCAACGAGTTTCCTGTGCATGTGTGACTGCATCAACGAGTTTCCTGTTCATGTGCGACTGCATCAACGAGTTTCCTGTTCATGTGCGACTGCATCAACGGGTTTCCTGTTCATGTGCATGTGAGTACTTAAAGACAAGAATACCAATGTGCATGAATATATCAGCTATAAAGCGGTCTCAGCTATAGTAACATCTCCACACATGTTACACGTGCAGCAGCATAGAAGATCTCTGCCATGTGTTCGTCATACCTGTTGTCGTACGTTACCCCATCAGTTCCACATTCCTCGTGTTTTGAGTATGTTGAGCAGTCTCTGTGCTGGTAGAGTCGACAGGTGAACTGACTGCCGAACCACCCGCCGGGAAACAACTGAGCAGAGGAAACTAAAACAAATATAAATCAACAAATATACACGGAACGCTGATCCAGGAAATGTGTTCCAGAAAAACAGAAGAAAATGACATTCCACTTCCGAAGTTAAGTCAGCCTTCCTGAATAGGATATGGGATTTAACCCAAAAGGAGGTACAGAGTCGATTGAGGTGAGTGAGTGAGTTAGGTTTTACGCCGCACTCAACAACATTCCAGCTATATGGCGGCGGTCTGCAAACAATCGAGTCTGGACCATATAGTCTGGACGCAATTGAGTGAGTGAGTGGGTTTAGTTTTACGCCGCACTCAGCAATGTTGAAGCTATATTGCGTCTGCCTGTAAATAATCGAGTCTTGATGCAGTGATCAACATCATGAGCATCGACCTACGCAAATGAGATGACATGCATCAACCAAGTCAGCGAGCCTGACCACCCGATCCCGTTAGTCGCCTCTTACGACAAGCATGGGTTGCTGAAAACCAATTCTCGTCTCAGATGTTCCAAGTTCTAACTCTCGTCAGGCGC